GGCAAGAAGTGAGGCTCTGAAGCAGGCTGTCCTTCGTACATATCATACGTGTGACAGCAGTGCTGCTTTTAGAGCTGAAAGGGGATAAAACCCCGGAGGAGATTGATTGCACCTCATTTATTTTTAACAGACGTGCTGGGGGAGTTTGAGCCCAAATTCCTCAGCTTGGGGCAACCTTAAACGTGGACAATCCTGACAGGTCATCCCTGTGGAAAGGGAGGTGGGCACATAGTGGGCTTCCAGCTCACTGCAGTGAGGATGAAATGGATTCTGATCTTTAAACTTGCTCATCCTTTGGCCTTCGGGCTGGGAAGGGGAAGAATGGTGTCACAACTATGATAAAGGTAGAATGGAGGGAAGGCAGGTTGCTGCCTGACTGTGGTTTTTGGGGTGGGGATGAGTCCTTGGAGAGCCTGGGGAGGCTGAGAGCTGTCGAGTTTCTTTCTTGCCAGGGTGAGATAGCAATGTGTGGAGGCTGCATGACTTTGTTTCCCTTTTATTTATAGGGGCTGCCCTATAAATCCCTGCAGTTCTCTTTGGGATGCTGGAACTGGACGTTATGGGGCCAAAGGTTTGGGTGTGGGGTGGGGATGGGAGCCACAGGAACACATGGAGACCACAGCCAAGGAAAGCTGTGTTTTCTGGGGGCAGGCTGGGTGTTCTGCATGTGTCAGCTGCTTGCTTGCCCCGAGCTCCTCACCATGGCATAACCAAACACCCTGACACCTTCCCAGCCTCATTTCTGCCCCTGGAGCTGCAGCAGGAGCCTCTCTGCTGGAAGCCACGTCTGCATCGTGAATCCTTGCAGCCCTGGTGCTGTACAGAGGTGCTCCCAGGGAGGCTCTCCTTGGCTTCTTCCCTAGGATGGGCTTTCTGTCACTGCGAGAGCAATGCCAGCCATGGTGCCGTGGCAGTAGTTGGAGCAGATGGTGCTGCTGTCATCGTTTTAATTTCTAGCCATGTGTTGAAATAGCTCAAAATAACTTGAGAAACGAAGACCCAGCCCAAGAAGATCGTTTGAATGTTTCTTTTGCCCTCAGAAAATCTACAGTGTGTGTCCACAGCACTTTCCTGGTTCTGCCCTGTCTGCTCTGACGAGGATCATTCACACCGATAGGCTGGAGCTGTGTCACGGAGCATCTTTTGTATTTAATATCTTCATTACCGTGGCAGCTTTGAATAGTCAGAGAACTCCTGCATAGGCTGTTCTGTCAGCGCCGTGAAATCAAAGAAGGGGCTGAGATCAAAGTAAGTGCCAAACACGTTCCTTGTGCCTCGGCAGCAGGTCTGCAGGAAGGGGCTGGGGCTCAGTGTGCAGCTGGTGCTGCTCCCCTGCTTCCCTTTGCATCCCCAGGGTGGGATGATGCACCATCCGTGGCACTGATGCCACACGGATTGTGCTGGGGGGGCTGTGCAGCTGTGTTCCCATTGTGGCTGGGGTTGAAGGCATCCACGTGCACCCAGAGCTCCAGATACACCGACAGCTGTGAGCACAGCCCTGTCTCATTAAGCTGTGGGGCTTCTGGCTGCGCCTTGGTCCCCTGTGCTCTGTGTCAGCATGGCTGCAGCCCAGCACCAGAGGCAGTGGCACCGTCAGCTCAGCATGCAGTGGGGCAGGGGAAGGGAGCTGCATGCAGGATGCTCCCTGCTGGCTCTGAGGCCAGCTGGTGTGAGCAGCTCCTGCACGGTGCAGCGTGGGGCTGTCCCAAAGGCAGCCCGTGGCCCAGAGGGCTCTGTGCATCGCAGCAGGGTTGGAAGGCAGCAGCAGAGAAAGGAAAGGGAGGTGGCTGAGCGCTGCAGGGAATCCTGCTTTCCCTTCTTACTGTTGACTCTATTTTTTTCCCCACTTAATGCAGAATGTTGAGCATGAGCTCCTCGGTGCAGAGCGTGCTGATGGTCTGCGTGCTGTGCGGGTGGCTCAGGGCTGTGCTCCATCCTGCACCAGGCTTCAGACCTCTCTCTGAGCCTGTGGCTCTGGCACAGCAAATGGATGCTGCTGTGTGTGTGCTGCTACAGAAACCAAATCAGCAGTCGTCTCTGCTGGGTCCTACGGCACATGGCTGTGCTGCAAAGCACTAAGATGGAGACGGTGCTCCAGGAGAGCTGACGTGGAGGTGAGAGCAGAGCTGTTGGCTCAGTGGCCAGAAACAGCTTAACCCAGGCAGCCTGGGGGTGTGCATCACCTCTCGGATGGGCTGCCTTGTGTTCCTGCTCTGCCCAGGAGAGGTGGGGCTGCTCGGTGCCCTCTCACATGCAGGGAAGGGAGTGAGCCGTGGTTCTGTTCCGCGCCCTGCGATGTGTTGTGGTGCTTGCTGGTGCATGAAACAAGCGCTGTCAGTTCGCTTCTAACCTCATATTAAGGAGGAGAGCTGTGATAACCATGAGAAACCAGTGGCTGTGCTAACCGCCCTGCTCGTGGCAGATTGCAAACATCCCCGAGCAGATGAGCCCTGCCAGCTCCTCGTGCCACCGGCTGCAGCGTGGAAGGGATCCTACATGGCTTCTTGTCTCTGCATTTCAGCTGCTCCACGTGAGCAGCGGAGCAGCGTGCAGCAGCCTCCAGTTAAGGGCTGATGGATGGCTGGATGCTTTCCTTCAGGCAGTGCAGAAAAGTGTTTTCCTCCTCCCCACGGTGTGATTTGCCCACCAATGGAAAGGGGACTATTGATGGAGGCAGAACGCTGCCTTGCCGCTGACTGTCTTAATTCCTAGAGCTGCTCTCTCCTGTTCTCCCTCTCCCCATCCATGCACATGGATGTTTCTTTTCTCCCATAGCAATCTAAGGCTGCTGTGGGCTCAGCATTGCTGTCCCACACGGTGGCACAGCACGTGGTGACACACGATGTGTTGGTGACAAAACACAGCGGTCTGATGTCTGAACTACCAGCTCCTCTGCGTGTGAGCTCGTGGGAAGGGTTCCAAACCACACCTCTGCTCACAGCAGGGCAGTGCTGGGGAAATTTGGGGCTGCCACTGTTCTTTGTCCTCACATAGAAGGAGATGCTCTGATTTCCAGCAGGTTGGGCTGAGCGGGGATGGGAAGAGTCAAAGAGAATTAGCTGGTAAATAAGATCTTCTGCCTTCTCTTTGATCCGCTCTACGTGTTCAACTGCTTAAAGGCTTCCCAAGAAGGGATTTTGGTGGAGGAAGAGTTTATCTGCCCATAGACCATCTCATAGCTCTGAAAGGCAAGGTAGTCTAGCAGGGGGCTGGGAAGAAATCCAAAGGTAGCCCAGTAAATCTCTGCTAAAGAGGCTTCCCTTCCTCCGCTTCACGCAGCAGATAGGGCAGGCTCTAAAACTCCTGTTGCTTCCTTTTTGCTGCTGTGTAAGCCCCTCTGATCGGGGCTTTAATCTGGCTGAAGTCGGTGGGTTTGGGGGCGGCTGAGCTCTGCGTGGTGGTGCAGAATGGAGAGCTGTGCTGTGCTCCTCCTGGCTGCAGGGCGTTGCATTCTGCTTGGTCAGCTGCAGCGGGGGGAAGAAGGAAGGTAGGAGGGGGTGAAAGATGTGGGAAGGATGGCAGCAATAGCAGCGGGTTGGCCCTCAGGTGCGTGGCTTTGGGTCGGGCAGTTGATGCAAGGTGTGGGCTTAATATTCCTGCGGTGCAAACGCTGCTTGCAGTTCCCAGCAGGTTGCAGCTTGCAGGGCTGTGCTGTTGGGGCAGCCAGAAGCACTGCTGTTCCCCAGGACCGGCTGCTCTCACTGCTCAGGGTGGGCTCGGATAATCTGCCCTCCTAATTGCCACCCAGTGAGGAGGCAGCTGCTGAGCTGGCCCTAAGCTGATTTGGGATGGCAAATTCTGTTAGTTTAATTCTCAGCAATGCTGAGGAACTTGCCAGCACGTGAGCATCCCTTGGCTTTTCTCTTGCAGCCAACGTGCCCTGGCGACCTGAGCCAGCTGGTGGGGGCAGGCAGTGCTCTGAGCTGGGAGAGGTTGGGTTTGTAAGGGGTATTTACTGACCGTTCCCTGAGCTCTTGTGTCTCCAGACCCAGCTTTGCTATTCCTTTTTAATGCTGTTTGTAAAGAATCGTGACGTCTCGTCGCTTAGCATTTGCCCTCAGTGGCACGGCCCTCCCCTTTCCATCTCCTTTCCAGAGCTGCTGGTGTGGAGCATTCATTGCCTGGTTTGTTAACCCAGGAAAAGGTGTTCCAAGCCTCCAAGGACTCAATAGCACGGGTTAAAGGTGAGCAACAATGGGGAAAAAAATGCATTTGTGAGACGATCCCTTTTGCAGCTCCCTCCTGCTCTTCTGAGAAGAGTTTGTCTTTGAACATGAAGGAAGTTTCCTCGCTCCTGCCTTGCTGTGATTTCTCATCTCGCTCCCTGTTAGGCAGTGCTTATGGAGCTCTGTCCGTGTTCCTTCATCTGTCAGCTCCAGGAGAACTGAGTGCACCAAGGAGATGAAAAGGAAGCCGCTTATGAATTATGAAGAGCCTTTCAGGCTGGTGTTCTTTCACGGGGCTGTCGCTCCGTTTTAATTGAGTAATTCAAATGGAAAAAAAAATAATAATCATCCTGTTTGTGTTTGATCACCTGTCAGAGGTAACACTTGGCTGGCTCACGCTTGTTGTTCTTGTTTTCAAGTAACACGAGCGGGCGTTTGCCACCCTGCAGGTGAAATAATGGAGAAGGAAGGAGCCGAGCAGGAGCTGGGATGCAGCTGCTCCCCTTTGTGCTGGGAGAGCTGGAGCTGCTCAGCTGCACCCAGGGATGTGCACCAAAGCATGCGAACGCAGCCCGCATCTCTCCAAGCATTGCAGAAATCCCCGCTCCCTCTGTTTTCCACCCGATGTGTGGCCCATACCAGCCCCCAATCTGCCAACCCGTGGTTTATTTTGGGATTTTTAGCCCATGTGAATCGAAGCATCAGTTCCTGGGCTCGTGATCCCAGCAGCTGTGCTTCGGGATGCAGAGCTGGCAGGGTGAGCTGTGCTGGGCTGCTTGGTGGGGCTGCACGCAGGGCAGCTCAGCCCCTGGCACCAGAAGCGTTTTGGTGCTGCTCCTTTGTGATGTCATCTGTCACACGCGACAGAAGGCTGAGCCGAGGCACAGCTGTGTGATCCCCAGCATCTGCTTCCCTCCTCTCAGGCTGCTGTCAATAGGGTACGTTGTTTTCTGTCCTGCTTTTATTTACCTGGCATTGCAGGGAATCCTCGCTCCGAGGCACGAAGAGTTTGGAGCTGCCAGGCTTCGCTTGGGACCTCAGCCTGCTCAGGTGGAGAGCACAGCGTGTGGCTTGCAGCAGGATGAGGGCAATGCAGTGCTGTTGTGCTGGGTGGTGACACAGCCTGATGGCCCTGCAGGGATTTTGGCACCAGATCCTGCAACCTTTAGTTCTGGGTTTGGCTCTTAGAGGCACCGAGCAAGAAAATGTGCTGCTGGGTGAGAGAGGTTCCTTCCAGACACCTGTGCCCTATGAGCAGGGCTTCGGTGTGCTCTAACCATGAACCTAAATATTTCATAGAATGAATGGCAGAATGGTTGGGTTGGAAGGGACCTTAAAGCCCACCCAGTTCCAATCCCCTGCCGTGGGCTGGGTGCCCCCCAGCAGCTCAGAGCCCATCTGTGGCTGTGGGCATCTCCAGGGACGGGGCACCCCAGCAGTGCCAGAGCTTCGCCGTCCTCTCTGCGTGCTGAAAATTACTCTTTTTCCTCTCTGAATATCTTCTTTGGGTTTTTGAAAGCTGTCAGCTCGCTCCCTGACCCCAGCTCAGTGATGTCTGCAGCTCTAAGGGCTCGCTTCAGACTCTTCCTGGTGGTCCTGCAGACTTTGGCCTCTTTGGGGTGGCAACGTCTTCTGCAGCTGTTTTGTCATCGTGCTGCAGGACCGTGCTGGCTCAGGCTGAGCCATGAAATGCCATTGAGATGCAGTGAGAGTCACTCCTGGTTCCCTCAGCACTGAGCCGTGCTGTGTGCCAGCACCATCCTGGGCACAACAGTGTGGCACTGGGACGGCACTGCTCGACTCCCAGCGCTGCTGTGCCTTCCTGCATCGCTGGGAAGCAGCTCCAAGCCTGGGCTGCTCCTCTTAGCACTGATGCACATAGCAAAGCAGGTGCCTTTGGTGGGGAGGTGGCCGTGGCTAAACTCATTCCTTGGATTTAGGCTGAGGGATCTGACTGGCTTGCACACATGGGGTGAATGGTGCTGGTGGGCTGAGCTCACATAGCTGTGCCCCCACGGGAAGTTTGGGGGTGGAAGGGCTGTTAACACCACGATGGGCTGTTGCTTCTCAGATAGGGTCCCTGCTTGGTGGGGAGAGTTCTGCTGGGAGGGGATAAGGCTCTTAGGAGGTGCTTTATCTCACGCAGGGTATGCTGCTGAAGTTTATCTCTGCGGCTCTCCTTGGTGGAGTTGCTCATTCCCAAACCGTTGCTTTGAGCAGGGCTGTTCCTGCAGGTTTTAGGAACATCTTTTCCCCTTCACGCTGTGTTTTCCCCCAGGAGGGATTTCCTCCTCCTCCGCTTGAGAAGCAGGATTGTCATCTCAGATGTGGTTTGTAATTCATGGTTGCTCAGGTGTGCGATTCTCACACCATCTTTCTTTAGAAAAGTTTAAAATAAGCAGTTTTAATAAGCTTTAAATTACGTTTCATCGTGAATCCATCCTAGAGCAAAAAACCCACAGCAGAGCTGAAACTTTCCCCCCACAATAAGAAGTGCTTTGTGGCTGAGCCTTCCAGTTCTGCTTTGTGGGTTCAGCAGGATGGATGTGTCCCAGAACTGTGTGCATCACACCAGGTTCTGAGTCTGCTATCAGGAGTGCTTTTAGCTGACGTGGGTGAGACATAAAGAGGGGGGAGAATGGACTCCAGCATCCATCAGAGAGGCACAAAACGTCTTTCTAGTGGTGAATATGACTGCATGATGATACGGCCTTCGTATTTCAAACCCAGCTGGGAGAGCTTTGCAGCTGAGAGATAATGGTGCTGCTGGCTCGCTTGGCCTCACCCTCTGGACCGTTTGGTGTCATTTATTTACCTCTCTGTTGTGTTGAAGTTTCATCTGCCTTGTAATGCTTTTCAATCTCAGCCCTGGCAGGCAGAGCCTCTTTCCATCCTGCAGGCACAGCACGAGGACGTCCAGCCCCAGTGGGAGACACAGCTGCTCCCAAAGTCCTGCTGTCCAGCTGGATGTGTGTCCGCACCCTGCGGCTCTCAGGGGACACCTGGGTGGTTTATTCCTTGGTTCTTTGTGCCTTTAGGTGATGCCTTTTTCCTTCCAACACAACAGGCAGCTCTTCTCTCATCTCTGAAAAATTAATGGCTGTATCCTCCCGAGTCCATCCTCACTCCTGCAGCTCCTGCCATGCGTGGAGCTCAGTGGGAGCGGGGCTGCCTGTGCCCAGCTGTGAGCAGAACAGCATTAAAAGCCCTTTTTTTTGCAGTGCTCGGAGCAAGCGGTTCTCTAACAAACACCCAAACGTTTCCTGGGGTCAGAAAAACAGCAGCACCAGCATTGAGCAGAGCGAGAGCTGGCACTGCAGGCGTGCAGGTCCACGGCCTTTGCTGAATCACTGCTGGCTGCTGCCGTGCCAGGGCTGCACAGATGCTAAATGCTGAGCTGGGAGGAGAAGTGGAACATCTTGAGCTGAGCTGAACGCTGTGCCCAGAACGGGCAGATGAGCCCCAGGCTGGGAATGTGAGCTGGATGTGGAGCCAGGAGTCCTCTCTGGATGCTGGCCCAGGAGATTCTTGTCCAGAGGCAGGAAAGCACAAAATGCAACTTTCCAAAGAAACTGAGAGAGGCACTGATTGCTCTTATCCAAAAACTGGGCTGGGGGAGGCAGGAGAGGAGGCAGTGTAAGGAAGAAGTGAGCATCACTTAAGCCAGCACTCAGATGAGTGGATGCTCTGCCTCTGGGTCAGCAGCTTGGAATAAAGCTTTGTGGGTGCGTGGTGAGCTGGGCTGGGCTGGGAGGGCTTTTAGGGACCAGCAGAAGGGAAAGGGGTCAGGATGGCTTCTGCTGTCTGCGTTTTCCTGCTGACAGACAGGGCAGCACGTGGGGAAACTGCTGTGCATCCCAGGTCTGCCTTTGGGATAGAAAGCTCCCTCCTGTTCCTTCTGCTGCACACAAAGCAGCACATTCACACCTTCATGCTCAACTTGCTTTTATGCTCTATACACTTACATCATCTTTTTGTATTTCAGTGCTGACCACCCTTGTAAATAGCACCACAGTGGAGCCAAATGAGACCAGGATATCATCCATGTGATCATTGGAGCCCTGGGGGGAGGGCAGCCAAATGCCCATAGGGATGTTCATTTTGGTGGGCAGCCTTCCACCCCCCCAAAGTCTTGACAAAAAGTTGTGTCACCTCATTCCTTCCTATTTTATACCTTTGCTTTTGTGAGTGACTTTCTTTGGTGGCAAGTTCTCGTGCTTCCTTGGTACAGTTCTGTCAAAGCTGTGTGGCTGTCAAAGGCAGAAATTAAATGGTACAGTCATCTTCCCAAGGCTTAAAAAAGCTGGGCAGGAGATCTGGTTACTGGCATTTGAGCCAGTTCCATATACTGGCATTTGCTTAGTTCCATATATCCTGTTAATTTATTGCCAGCAAACAAAACCACGTGAGTTTGCTTCCTTGCTTGCAGTGACCTGAGCCTCACTGCTGCATCCATTTGCTCCTGACGGTCACGGCAAGCACACAATTACACTAATAGCCTGTTATTAATCACTGCCAGTGGCTGTAATTATATCAGCTATTAGGAAGTCGACTAAAATCCACCTCTGTCCAATCAGCGTGGGGAATAAGGAGAGGCACAGTGCCTGCAGACTGTGTTTGTTGTTGGGTTCACTTCCTTTAGCACTTTGGAAAGCCCTCTGAAGTCCTGGTTTGGTGCGTTAGCATTTTGCACTGCCCTCTGCTCAGTGGTGCTCCTGGTGGATTTGGGGGCACTGGATGCTCCGGGGGGTGTGAAACCCAACAGGCAGTGTGTATCCTGAGCTTCCCTCTATGGGATTTTGGGTCTCATCAGGAAAAGGAGGCAAAGCAGCTCCCTTCCTGCTGTGGCTGAAGAGGCAGCCTGCAGCTGTTGGCTCACTGCTTGCCAGAGGATGCTCCCAGGATGTGGCTGAGGTGGTTGCATGAAACACCCCAACAAGGCTCCAGGATTTGCCTGATAACCGATTGCTTTTGTGTCCTCCTTCAGGTAACTTGGCTGCAAGATGGCAGAACCACACCAGGACATCACCGTCGTGGAGGACCAGGAGAGGCAGCACGTCCCCTCAGGTGAGCACCTCCAGGAGGAGACAGTGCAGAGGACAAGAGTGAGCCAGGCAGGGGGAGCAGAGCCCTGGGGACAGCCAGGAGGAGCTGCTGTGTGTGTGTGTGTATGGAAGGTTCCTGCGTACCAGCTTGCTGCAGGCAGTAAGCACTGGGTGGCCCACAGGGTGCTCTGATGCTCCTGAATGAAGGAGAATGCTGCTGTGTGATATGGTTGCCTAGCAGAGCACAGATCCCATGCTGTCTCGAGCAGTTCTGATCTTACTGCTGCAGCTTGGCACGTCTATGCTTTTGTGTTCACTCCTCAGTTTGCTACTACAACACGGCACTGCTTTTATTTTGAGACACGGCTCGAGGATGCTGCTTGCTGCCTGCTTTTCTCACCTGCACAAGGCTGAGCAGAGAGTTCTGGGAGCCATGCAAGAGTCTTTTATCCCATATTTCAGACCTGCATTTCTCCAGAAGCCTTTCCTTTCTCATCCCACCACGCTGCACAGTTGAGCTTGGAAACCCACACAGCCCCAGCAAACTTGGTGGGACTCACTCTTGGCTGTGCTTCATACAAACACCATCTTGATTTTATTTTCTTGAAGGGCTTTGGACACAGCTTCCACCAAACCAAACCAATGGGTTATGTCAGCCGAGGAGAGAATCCATGGCATCCATTCATCATGGGTCGTGTAATGCATTTCAGGCTGGTAGCTTCTCTCAGCTCGTAGCCTCATCTTTGCACGTCGCAGGGATTTCACTTTTATTAGTTTGAATCTTCTTTTCCGAGTCATTTTCTCCAGCTTTCATGGTATGATTTCATTTAGTCAGCCTCCTTGCAAAGAGGAGACTTGTGCTTTTTGCTGTACTCTTCCAAAAGATGACTTTGGCCCAAGCCTGGCACTGTGCATTATGCACTGCACAAAGACTTGCTGGTTTGCAGTGATGAGAATCAATACATCATGGGAGCATTCGGTAGCAGCTCTGGGAGAGAGTCTGATGGCTCTGGAAATGGCAGAGGGGACAACAGTGACTCAGATGTACATCTTTCCTGCTTACGTTGCTGAGATCTCCTTTCCTGCTTCTGCCATTCTCTGCTGTGTGGTTCCTGGGTTTTTCTTTTGGCTTCTGCTTGTTCTTTTTGGCGATGGCACCGATGCTTTTGGTTGGCATTTTCACGCTTTGCTTGCTTATCAGTTCAGGTGTTTTATGCTCTCCACTCGCCGCAGTGGATCTGGGCCATTAGAGGTTTGTAACTCATAGCCAAGCACCTGTTCTAAGTATTTGTTTTCCAGGCTATCCCCTTCAGATTCCAGTCGATGATGGATCGGATGAGCCTGTTTCTGAAACATCTGACGCTAAGAGCACCCCAACTACAGAAGGTGGGAGCTCTTTGTCTTACTGCTTTGAAACCATGATGGTTGGGGTCGTGTTAAACCTTGCCAAGAGACTCCTGCCACGTTCTGCTGGGGTTTCTCAGGAGGAGTGTTGGTGCTCTTGGATGAGAGCTCTTCATTAGTCTCATCACAAATGAGGTTTTCACCCAGCAGAATGAGAGAATGGGCTTTAAAGGTGGAGAGTGGGTTGGAAGGCCTGAGATGGAGAGTGTGAAGTGTTGCTTAGAGCTCTGCAAGTCTCTTGCAGGTTGTTTCCTTCTCTCACGCAGTGACCTCAGGGTCCAATTAGCTCAGTGCAGCCAGGAGCAATCCCACATCGCCTGCAGGTTCAGAGATTTGCATCACTGTGCACCATCAAAATACTGCCAGCCCATCCTGCTCTGTGTTCCCTGTCAGAGTCAGGTGGAGCTCTTTTTGTGTCCCACTGTTTTTACGTGTTCATTCATACAGCACTGGATTTGTGCTGGAATGATGAGATGGATTGAGTCTATACGTACAGCTTTGAGTTGATGCAGAAGTCATGTGGGTCAGGTCAGGGCATTTCTGTGCTGCTTCACTGGAAGAAATCTAATTTGGAAGTAATCTAGAGACTTGTCCATTGTTTTAATTAACTGCACTGTTTCTCTGGCTGCTTTAATCCCAAGTATCTGCCTCTTGGTGGCTTCAGGTAAAGGCATCAGCTTGCAAAATGTATCTAAAATTAAAAAGGATGGAGATATTGAGCAGTTCCAGCCCTGCCCTGCTGGAGGTGTAGGCTGACAGAGCAGCCACATGAGAGATGTGTGCTTGGTGTGGGGCAGCTCACTGTGTCCCCAGGGGACCAGCTTTGCTGTGTCCTGCTCACTCATCTCCCTCCACAAGCACTGGCTCAGGGGAGGGAGATGGGTGCTTCTCTGAGCAAAACGAGCTTCGGGAGCATCCTGGCCTCCCCAGGCTTTTGCCATTTGCTGGCTATGTGAAAGCTGCGTTGTTTTTCAGATGCCACAGCACCTTTAGTAGAGGAAGGAGACCAAGAGGATCAGCACGGGGAGATCCCAGAAGGAACCACAGGTGAGGGAGACTGAGGTGCAGCTTCATCTCTTGGTACAGATAGAGCAGAGAGCTGGACTGGTTCGTGCTGAAAAACCTTTCGCAGGTGTGCTTTGCTCCTCATGCTTGCTTCCTTCTTCTCCACAGTCTGCAGATAAATTCCTTGCTTACTGCTGTCCTCTTGCCTTCCCCAGCCTGGGGAACACTCGCAGCCTTTTCTTCTCTCTTTCTCAGCTCCTCATCTGACGATCTTTCTATCCATGGTGGCTTTGCCTCACGTCTCCATGCAAAGTGCTTTCCTGCAGAGCCTGCCCATCTCTGCAGCTCTGCTGGCAGCCCTGCAGGACCTCACTGCTCCTCTCACGAGCGCTCTCTCTCAGCCCACACAATTGTCTTTGGAGAGGCAGGTGGAAGCCAGACCACTGCAGCACTTCTTGGGCTGCCAGCACGTTTTGGAGATCGTGCAGAGGAAGCCAAGTGGCTCATTGAGGATCTCTGCACCTGGGCCTGCTTTTGCAGGGAGAAATGGGGGTTTTTCAGAGTTAGAAGGGATTGATGTGCAGCAGAGCTGGGCAGGGCAGGGCAGGAGCTCCTCGGACAGTCAGGTGTGGCTGTGAACACTGAGCACCTGGTCCCTGTGTGGTGGCTGCTGGGTTGTCCTGGAAGCATCAGGCAGCTTTTGAGAAAGGCAGTGTGGTAGAATGGGCTTCTGCCAGCACCCAAACACTAACACAAGCCCACAGCTCTGCAAGCACTGGGTTTGTTACACACCCAGGTTAGCTGGCAGCAAATAGCCCAGGAAGAGCTCATTGCAGTCAGCTGGAGAGAAGACATGGATGAGATAGAGCTCAGGTAAGAGACATCGATGTGAGCGCTGCCAGCTTGGCAGGGGTAGAAGAAGAAATACAAATCCACAAGTTTCTGTGCTCAGTGCTCAGGTCTGAAGGAGCTTGTGCTAACTTGCCACTTGATGAAACACGTTGGTACAGCAGCTGTTGGATAAATCTAATGGGACCCATCGTTAACACAGCCTGATTGCCTTTCTGATACTGCCCTGCTCATAAGACAGCCGTGATGGGCAGAATCAGCAAGGAGGTAAAGACATTCTCCAGAAGCATGCTTAAACTTAATTCTCATGTCCTGATGATGTTTTTTCCATTCTCCTTCTGAACTGGGACCAGCTGAAGAGGCGGGCATAGGAGCCACCCCCAGCCTGGAGGACCACGCTGCAGGAGATGCTGCTCAAGGTTGGTCAGACTTCTGTCACTGGGGTCTGGTTGCTGCTCCTGGGGGCCTTGGGAGTTTTCTTCTGTAATGCAACTGCTTTGCACCCCGTGGGCAGTTGTACAGCTCTCCCCGTTGCTGGCAGGAGGGTCACACACACTTTGAATGTCCCAACACACTCATTTCAGGCAGCTCTTCATTCATCTGTTTTCTCTCTCAGGTGGCTGAAGCACCGATGCTTGTTTGTCCATTGGCAAAACACAGCATCCTCCAGGCTAGAAAAGGTCATAAACAGAGCCAGGATGGTGCAGTTAGCCAGGAGGCACTGCTGAGCATTGCATGGGTCAGCTTGGGACCCTGCGTGTCCCACATGAAAGGGGTGAATTATCTGACTCTAACTACTGTGTGTCACTTAGGGTGGGCTCTTTTTGCATCCCAGTCTTCAGGAGTGTCTGCCAATGCCAGGCAAGGTGGGCAGTCATTTTAACACAGCTGTCTTGTTCACGTTTGTATGTGACAGCACTGGTTTTGTGTGCTAGTTAAAAGGGCAGTTAAAGCCCATTTTGTTGGTGGTTTTCTGTTCAGGTTCCTCAGGCTGCTCCTGCAGTGTCTCTCCTCTTATGACTGCTCTTCACAGTCATCCCTGTCTTTGCAGGGAGCACGCAGCTCTTTGCTTTCTCAGCTCAGAGTGAATTGAGGTCTTTGCTTTTCACACAGCACACTTGCACACACTCTGCTCCCTGCAGTTAAAATAAAGCATCTGATGCCTGGCTGGTGGTTCTCAGGCCAGCAGCTGTTCTGTATTCAAAATAGTGATGCTACTAAAAAGGAAATCAGGGTTGTTAGCAGGATGGGGTAAGTTGTTGTCTGTCTTTTTCAGTCTGGCTGTAGCTGCTATTTCTCACCAGATTTTTAATGAGAGCTTTCTGTCCTGTCCTGGGACCTTTCAGCTGTCAGATGTGGGGATGTGCAGCTCTGAGAACCAACAGATGGCATTTCTGGGTTCTTACATAAATGGTTACATCTCCAAAATGGACTTTCAGCAGCGCTGCTGCTTTGTAACGATGATGAGCTTTGATGATTTGATGTGATTATTGATGCATACCCACAGCTGTGGATACCTCATAACTACCCACCTTCACTTCTTGTGTTGTGAGATTTGAAAAAAAAAAGATCTTTGCAGTGAAGACAGAGCATGTTAAAATGCCTTTGGAGTCTCAGCATCTTTCAGTTCAGATTTGCCATGCTGGTGTTCTGCCAGCACTCAGTGCAGCACTCAGACCTGCGGGCAGCCCTGCAGAATGGACATGTGCATTCTTATGGGGGCTTCGAGCAGTTCACCAGTGTTCAGGGTGAGCTCTCCATTGCTCAGCACATCTCTGCTTCAGTTGGAAGAGTTTCTAGCAGAACAGCTTCAGTTCAACCAGAATATCTGGCTTAATGCAGCAGCGTGGCATGAAATTGCAAAGCTCTGTGTCATGCTTGAAATCAACAATGAAAAATAATCATCTCCTTTACCCTAAAAAAAAAAAAAAGATCTGTGTCTCTATGTTTTGGGTTTTAAATATCATTCTCTCTCCTCTGCCCAAACGATGGCAGCAGTGCTGGAGCACTAATTAGGCTGAGTGGGTGCACAGCCCAGAACTGCTGTGGCTGTGTTGTTACAGCCACAGTTTACTGACAGTCCTTCCCACCAGGGCTGTGCCCAGCTGCTGTTAAGGGCATGGCAGTAAGGGAGCAGACAGAGGAGAGCTGTTCCCCGGGCTCATTAGAACCAGAAGTGATCTGGAGGTGGATGGGAAGCTGGATGTGTTCCTGATTTCTGAATAGCTCTAAAGCCAACCCAGCTGGCAGTGCAGATATGGGGACCCTTCAGCCACCTCTGATACGGGGTCCAGGCAGTGCTCTGCTCTTCCCACCCGCTGCCCCCAACCCCCTTTCCAGTTTCCGTGGAGGTCAGAGTTCCTTTAAAAAGCCTCTCTTTGTCTGCTGAATGGGGCAGCTCTCATTAATAGTACAGATCCCAAGTTTCTCTTCTACGTTATGTGATTGACCACCTATCTGTGCTTTGCTCACTGTTTGCCCACGCTTCGTACTCTGCATCTTCAGCTCCAGGGGAGCCCAGCTCTCCAAAGCTGCAGCCTGGCCTTAAGGAGCACATGGGAGGTGTGAGTGAAAGGGGCAGCCAGCCCACGGAGCAGCTTCCTCAGGAGCCTCTTCTGCAAGCAGAAACAAAGCCTGCAGCCACAGCTCCCACCAGGATTGAGGTCACTATCCCAATACCCCTGGATATGTACCAAGATGTCAGACCGGCTGAGGACAGCAATGGGCTGTGGGATCGTGGGGGCAGAGAAGGCATTGGTGTGGATCCAGCAGTGGGAACAGAGCTGGGTGATGTGTGCACCGTGGGGCTGGCAGGAGAAGGTGGCACTGATGCCTCCCGTGCTGCAGATGGGCCAACTCCTTTATGTGCTGGAGCCCCACTGCAAGAAGACACCAGCAGATGGGAAGGAGATGAGGACCGTGATATTGATGAAGCTTCTCAGCAGGCTGTGCTTGGCCTGGTGGGACAGCACGTTTCTCCAGGACCCAAAACAACCAAGGAAGCTCTTAAAGATGAAGGAGAAAGCAAGTCTGGAGACGTCCTTAGAGACATAGAGAGAGAGGCAGCACTCCTTGTTGAATCTGAAGCAGGTAAAGCAGAAGACCAAGAGGAGAGACAGCAGGGGGAAGAGTCACACGCAGATGTCACCTCATCAGAGCCTTCTGAGACCCAAACAGGAGGGGCAGGAGGGGATGCTGGACCCTTAATGGAAGCAGCCGAGCCCCCCGTTGGGTTAAAGGATGGCAGGGAAGACAGAGATGCTGCTGTGGAAGAGGCAGAGCTGGGTGCAGGAGGGTGCCGGACGCCCAAGAAGAAGCCTGGTGCTGCAGATAAAGCAGTCAGTCGTGTTCCTCTCCTGAAAGGTGTGTGCACCATTTGCCTGCCTGGAGCTCAGACGTTGCTCACCACGGGGCTGCTTGAAGCAGCACTTCAGCTTGCTGCCTCCTCCTGAATTGCAGTGCTTGGGACATGGCCTGGACCTTTGCTGTGAACTGATCTACAAAGCGCCGCTGCTTCCCCCTCTCCCTCCTTTAATCTTGGATGTCCTGGCATCATTGCCAGACACCCATGCTTTGGTTTTGCATCCCTTGCATGGTGCTGGCGTGTTCCCAATCGTGCTTTCTTTCTTTTCTTTTTTTTTTTTTATGTTTAAATTCCTTTGGATCTTTGGGCTGGGCTCCTTTACTCACACCTGGCAGCTTCCCAGAGAAGACAAATTCTGGATGGATGTTGTGGCATGTTGGATTGGGGCTAACCCAGCACGCTGCAGCTTGTCCCAGCAGGGCACGTGCCACCTGGTTTGCATGTGTCCACTATCCAGCCCAGTAACTCCTTGTATCAGCTTTCCTAGAGAGGAGGAAGGAGGAAAAATGGAAGGGAGGTGGCAGTTCAGACCGAGGGAAAGGTCCCACGTTGGTCCTTTGCAGAGCGCATCTGAAGCTCTTACACAGCATCGTGCTTTGATCCCAGCTCTGGATCTGTGGGTGCTGTGATGCAATGGCTGTGTTGGGTGTTCTGCAGGGGGTTGTGTGTGTGGAGGCTCTTGGACACATCTGTGTGTGCCTGGGCTGGAAATCCTCCTCTGTGAGCACCCAGGGCAGCCAGAGCCCAGGGTGCTGTTTGTGCAGCAGGTCTCAGTTCTGGCTGTCCGTGGTGAAGGGTTGAGCTCTCCCTTCAAAGCATGAGCATCCCTGCTGGCAGAGCAGCTCTTAGAGCTCTTCTTTCTCCAAGAAGGAGCTGCTTCCCAGTTTCCAGGGATCCAGGAACATCTCAGAGGAATCTGCTCAGTGCAGAAGTGCAGGCTGTGCAGCAAATTGCACTGCAGGACATGCAGCAAAACCTGCTGGTCTCTTGCCATGTTGGATCTCACTTTGTGCTGTCAGGGCTGCCCTGGGGAGGAGCTCTGCCTTTCACCTCACTGCCACGTCCCAAAAACTGGCACGACTGCTTCCATTAACCTGGAAATCCTGCTCACCCCTCCCCTCCTCTCTGGTTTGCAGCAGAGAGAAATGCGCTCTTTGCTGCATGGGGTCAATGAGGAAATTGCTGATGTAGCTTTTCCCCTCGGAGCCAAAGCTCATCACACATTTCTTATTGTTTACTACCTGGGAAGGCATCAGAAAGCTTTGCACACGTGCTGCAGGGCATCAGCATGGCTTGCTGTCGCTGTCATCAGAGCCTGAAACCAATCGTGGGCTGGGGATGCCTTGCCCAGGGTCACCCAGTTTCTGGTTCATCAGAAGGAATTTCTTTAATTAATTCATTCATGGGCTTTTTCCTTCAAAGACTGAGACGCTTTGTAGCCTCTGCAGCAGCTCTGGGGCTGTTGGGGTGGGTCGGAGCCATCAGTGCTGCATTAATGGCATCACACGTGGGCTGACCCATTGGGTTTCCAAACACTGGGGTGAAGATCAGAAGCTTTTCCTCCCAGAATTAGGAAGGAATTAGCTGAGGGCTCAAAGAAGGACCTTTGTGAGGGGTGCCTGACAGTACCAACGTTTCTTCCTCTCAGCTTCTCATCTCATTAGCAGTACTGCAGCCTGAAATATTGTCAGGGCCACCGTATGCTTGATCTGAATCAAATGGGACAATGGCTCAGCATTAAGAGCCTGCAGAGCCTGAGCCAGATGGAGGGCACGCTGCTGGGGATGTGGTGTGTCAGGAGGATGGGGAGTAAACTCCTTGCAAAGATAACACACTGGAGAAGAGATTTAAGACAGACCTTGGGCTCCCTGGTGCTGGTCGGTTGGGGCATCCTTTGTTTTCAGTGTGTGTATATCTGATTGTTGGATGCAAACGGGTTTTATTAAACAGACAGACTCACTTTTAGCTCAGAGAGGGCTGTTCCATCCTGAACTGAATGAGTGCTGCTGGAACTGAGTGCAAATGGACTCACACAGACCTGGCGTGTGTCTGATGCTCCAGCAGTGACTGCTGTTGCTTGTGCACAGGATCACCTGTTAGCCCAAGAGGAATGTGCTTAGATGTGCTTGTGTTTTGCCAAGAAATGGGGGATTTTCTCAGGTTTTTAAGAGCAGCGTTTGACCTAAGCTAGTGGGAAGGTGTAGCACCAGCTCAGCATGCATGTTACTGTAGCACAGGCACTGTCAGCTGTGCATTTCACCCATCCCACAAAGTGTAACTGTGTGTTTCCGTTTGTCAGCTCGTATTGATAGCAAAGACAAGGAAGGGGCTGAAACTGATGAAAAGAAACCGAAGGTAAGCAAAGGAGGAGAATCCCCACCTGCCCACTGGGCTGTGCCCATTCCTGACTCCTGCTTTAGGAATCCTTGCCATTACCCTGCCTTTTGTTTTTGTTTTCATCTCCCCATGCCCTGGTTTGGATGGTGCAGTCTGTTGGGCAGGAATGCAAACCAAATCTAAAATGCAGATCATGGGTTTGTAGGGTGGTTCTATGTGACATTCTCAGCCCGTGGTCAGAAAGCAGAAGAGTGGCTTCGGTGGGGCAAACTGGTGCAGAAGCAAACTCCAAACTATCATTGGGTGTCTCACAGCTGCTGGTGGAGCCTTAGGATGCCAGCAGTGCCCCAGGACCCCCAGCCCTCACCCAGCTCTGTGCTGCAGAGGGCAGAACCTCTCCATTGCCTTTTTCAAGTCTGCTTCCACGTTGCACCTTCTAATCCTGTTTGATGTTGGTTATCCCTTTTGTTCCCCTCCCGTACTGATTTTGTTTTTGTTGTTCCGATTTTATTTTCTTTCCATGTGTAAGAAATCCTCACCTTCCACTGCCAAACCCCCAAGTGATAGAGCCTCCATCCCTCCCCACCGACACACCTCCTCTAGCACAGCCCCTCCGAAATCTCCCTCCAGCCCTGCATCCACCTCTAAACGAGTCTCACCCCGACCTGCCAGTACAGGAACGCATGAAACAAAGGCCAAGGTAAGGAAATGGGATGTGAGAGAGGCAGAGCTGCCTTGGAGAACAGCAGAAGGCATTGCTGGCAGTGCTTGCTGGGCTGAAGCACCACGTCTCGCTCAGAGGAGAAAGTGGGGTCATAGAATCATAGAGTGGGTTGAAAAGGACCATGATGATCACCTGGTTCCAACCCCCTGCTATGTGCAGGTCGCCAACCAGCTGCTCAGAGCCACATCCAGCCTGGCCTTGGATGCCTGCAGTGATGGGGCATCCACAATGCTTTGGGATGTGCTTCTCTGCACGGCAGTTTTTGGAGCAGCCGTGTCAGTCTCACGGCCCCTTGTTCTGCTTTAGAGCATCTCAGGTGCTGCAGGGGGTTACCTGGTCTCTCTGAAGCATTTCTGGGTCCCTTTGTGTCTTTTCATCCTCTTTGTTCTGCAGCTTTATGCTGTGTTTTATGGGTGTGTAGAACACAGCAGCTGCTCTTGTCGTGTGCAGGGCTGTCTGAATGTGAAAATGCACACAGTTCTGTGGCTCATTCTGCTCTGGGGTTCCCCTTGGTGGTGCTCAGGCAGATACACAGCTGTGGTGAGGGAGAGAGCAGAGGCTGCAGCTCTGGATAAGGGGATGCAGTTTTGTGATGGTTCCCTGCAGCCTTGGAACCCATCAGCTCTTAAGATTTCTGATGCACGTTTTCAGCTTTGTTACACAGAGTAGCATCAGGGCACGGGTTGAAAGCAGACGTGTTGGTTTATAGAGCTGGGAGGGCTTTTCTGCAGGATCCCCAGGCAGTAAATGGCACACTGCTGTTTACAAACCCCTGCAGATGATGCGCGGGTGCACCCAGGAGGGAGGACAAAGGAAATGCCTGTGTTTGGGGTCTGGCTCTGCCTCGTGGATGGAGCCTCTGTTGTGCAATCAAAGAGCGGGTTTATTTAGCACTGGGACAGCAAAACAAGAGGGAAGAAAAAAAAAAAAAAAAAGAAATGGAACGGAGCCTTTTCCCTTCGTGTCCCTGCAGGGCCAGGAGATGAGGGGTGGCACAAAGCCGGCCACGCCGCGCTCTGCAGCCGGGCAGCCACAGAGGAGCTCCAGCAACGCCACCCGCATCCCAGCAAAAACCCCCACGGCCCCCAAGACCCCTCCTGGCTCTGGTAAGTGTGGGGCTCCGTGCAGGGATGCGGGGCAGGGAGCTTTGCACCGTGAGGGTGCTGCTGCTGCTGCTGCTCGATGTGCTCTGTTGGTAACACGTGGCAGCAGGTGGGAGGTGGCACTCGCTTCATCCCACTGGGATTTCCTCCAATTTGGAAGATTTAACCATCTTCATTTTTTTTTATTTTTTTTAAATCCATCTCTCCCTTTTCTCTTGACGTTATTTCCCAATGACCTGGGGGTGTGAGGATCAATTCTTCGATTGCAGGAATGGGGATTATAGCCTGTAATTCCCAGGAGCAAAGCCCAGGAAGCGCCCGGCGTTGGGGATTTCCATTGCAGTGGTGCATTTTGCTGAACATGTGCATTTTTTCGTACTTATCGGAGCTGCGTTAAATCCTTAAACCAATTAAGTGTCCATCCTTATTAAGCACCTCTCTCGTTCATTAAACAGGCAGAAAGGAGCAGAAAAAACCACCCCCTGCAGCAGCGAAGTCTGAGAAAGGTGATGTTTAAGGATCTTCTTGTATTTGTTAAGATGGGGACGGTTCTGAGCTGCCCAGCGATCTGAGCTTTATTTAATTATGCAAAACAAGGGGATGAAAACCCTTCCAAATCCCAAAGAGAAGAGTGGGTTCCTCTCAGTGCCTTTTGTCTGTAGTTCTTCATGCGTGCTGATGTCACGTTGGGGTGGGGCAGTCATCCAGACAATAAAGAACTCCTTTCTTTTGAGCTGCTGGGAGGCTGCTTTCAACCTTTCGCTCCAAGATCGGATGGGTGTCCGTCCCATCCTGCTGGGGCTGTGGGAGCTGCAGAGCATCCTCAGAAAGCAGGCAGGCAGGGTTTTGTGCGCCCTGCGCTCACCTCGCTGTGTCCGTCTGCCATCTCCAGGTGAGCAGCCCAAGTCTGGAGACAGAAGCGGTTACAGCAGTCCCGGCTCCCCCGGGACTCCAGGCAGCCGTTCCCGCACTCCTTCTCTGCCCACCCCACCAGCCAGGGAGCCCAAGAAGGTGGCTGTGGTTCGCACGCCTCCCAAATCGCCCGCGTCCGCCAAGAGCCGCGTGCAGCCCTCGGCGGCTCCGATGCCCGACCTGAAAAACGTCAAATCCAAAATCGGCTCCACCGAAAACCTGAAGCATCAACCTGGAGGTGGCAAGGTAAAGCTGGGCTGTGCTCTGTGATGGGGATGGGGGGTGCTGGGGGGCTGAGCCCGACCCGGAGCAGCGGCACCCAGCTGGGGCTGCAGGCGTGGCTCTGGACGGCTGGGCTTCGGCTGATGGGCAGCTTGATTTCTAGTGGAGGTTTTTTGGGCTGGTTGGTTTTCAGTTGTCCTGAAATTGCTTGCCTGGCTTAGCACAGCTGAAGCACGTGGCCGTGGGGTGGCCTGGCCAGCAGTGGCTGCTGGGGGTGGTGTCTCCCTGTGGTGTCCTGTTAGGGAGAGCTTTGGAGAGAGCTGGGACCTGCAGCCCTAAGGAGTCCCGGGATCAGGGCTGTGATTCTGAATGCTGCTGTGCGGTCTGGAGCAGTCACTTCTTTGAGAGGATGGCAGCCTCCTGCAGGGACCCCAGGCAACCCATCCCAATTGCAGCCTCGTGGCAGGGCAGAGGGCTTTGGGCATGCTGGGTTGTTCTCAGAACACAGCCAGTGCAAGGACTGGGATCCTGCTGGGGTCCTCCTGCTGCTACCAGCTCTGAGGTGACCCCAGTCGTGCTGGGACTGAGCTGGATCTGCTGGTGTTGGAAGTAGAGTCAGTTTTGGAACTGCTGAGAGAAGCAGTGCAGAAGCTGAGCAGGTTGGGGTTTTGGGATCCACTTTGATTGGTGGGGTTTTGCATTGCATTCTGCAGCCAGCTGCTGTTGCTGCAGTGGAGCAGCGTGGCACAGCCACAGCTGGTGGCAGTGCCAGTTTTAGGGCCACCAGTGCTTTTCTGAGAGGGCAGCAAAGAGAGCTGTGTGCTTTGAGTGCTTGGGAAACAGGGCATCGTGGTGGGTTTTGCAAGCTCTGCAGAGGAGAATTCTGCAAAGAGAGCCTGAGCTGGGTGAAGATTGGTGCATCCCCACTGCTCCAGAGCAGCAGAATGCAGCCACACAGCTGCAGCAGTGCTGTGCTCTGTGCTGCGTGGATGTGCATCCTGCAGCTTTTGTGGGATGCCCCTCCCTGCATGACAGGAGGCCTGAGAGCAGCTGGTGGCTCTTACACAGATATTCAGTGGCAGAGCTGCACACGTGGCAGTGAGCACAGCTGGGGTCACTGTGTGTGCTTGCCTGCCCAGCAGAGCATCGCTGCCTCTTCTGCAGCCATCATGCAACAGAGCCACGAGAAACATCCAGGAGTGGTGCATGCTGTGGTGTGCAAGCAGCTGGCTCTGAACTTGTGACTTCGGTGTGGGGAGGCTTTGGGATGGCTTCTTTTCACCGCCCTCAGCTGCAGTGTGCTTTCCCCATTTCTCTCTGCACGTCTGGTTTGTGCTGCACTGCAAAGGGCTGCTCCTCCCCAGCAGCTCTGGTTGTTGGTTCGCTGCCTTTGCTAAACCCAGACAGGCCAAACTGTGCCCTGATTCGCAGGATTAATTGCTGTGAACTTGAAAAGCAACGCTGGAGATCTGTGGTGCATCAAGCTCTGCTGGCAGCAGCAGGCAGCACTTGCTGAAATGGGGAGGTTTGGTGCCCAGGGTGCCCACCTCACCACTGGGGGGATGTTGTTCATGCAGAGGCTGTGGGTGCAGTGCTCTCCTGCAGGATGCTGTGCCTCCTTCCTTCTGGGGAGCATTGTGCTTCTGGTGCCTTTCTTCAGAGGGAGCTGAGGCACTGCCTGTGCCTTTGGTTCAGGTCTTCAAGTCAATCCAGGCCGTGCAGGGGAGGGAGCAGGCACTGCATTCAGCTGTGGGATAGTGCATGGGGTCACTCAGCAGAGCTGCCCTTGCAGTGGGTTCCTGCAGACAGGCTTTGGGGCGGGGAGTGAAGGTAGCATGGCACGTGGCTGCCAGGGCTCCGAGCTGGTTGAAGCATCTCTCCCACTGGAGGTGCTGTGAGCGGTGTGGGCCAGCAGCTGCCCCAGGGCTCAGCTGGGGCTGTCCCTTTCATCCCAGCTGCACACGGGTTAAGCAAACTGCAGTCCTGGCACTGCATCCCGGGCACAACAGCTTCTCCCCTCTGTATCTGCAGAAGGAGTTGGAGCCCTGCCCCACAGCGAGCTCAAAGTGCTGGGCACCCAGTGCTCTGCTGCAGCCCGTGGCTCACTTTGAGCTGCTGCCCCCGAGGCCGAGCAGAGATGTGTGTGCTGGCACAGGGCTGAGCAGGGGGGTCTCTCAGCCCCATCCTTCCTCCCAGTCCACCCTGGTGGTGCAGCTCTGCGGGTGCTGCCTCGGAGCAGCAGTGCTTTCCAGCATGTCTGCTGTCCCCCCTTCTGTTCAGAGGAAGCAGACGGGCAGCTGGCTTTCTTGCTGGTGTTTCTGGCATGGAAACCAGGGCTGCCTTGCTAGCCAGATCTCATCCAGCTCGAGCTAGAGCTCACCCACCTCCATCTTCAGCTTCCAACTCAGGAGCAGCAAGCCAGAGATCCTCCTTTCTCCTGGCCCTGGCAGGCAGGCTCCTGCTGTTGGTGATATTTCGCATGGTCAAGCTGCAGATGATCATGTTGTTTCTCACGCTCTTTTCTGGCTACCAAAGGTGCAGATTATTAATAAGAAGCTGGACTTTAGCAGCGTTCAATCCAAGTGTGGCTCAAAGGATAATATCAAACACATCCCAGGAGGAGGCAGTGTGAGTACCTTCACACTTTCAATGCACTGTAATAGTTCTTAATGATAAGTGGCATGTTGTGTACACTAAACCACCAATGCTATCTGCAGCGCCCGTGCCGTCAGATAGCAATTGGTGACATGCAATGACTCTTTTCTGGCTACCAAAGGTGCAGATTGTTAATCAGAAGTTGGACTTTAGCAGCGTTCAATCCAGGTGTGGCTCAAAGGATAATATCAAACACATCCCAGGAGGAGGCAGTGTGAGTACCTTCACACTTTGAATGCGCTGTGCCGATCCCTACCCGTGGTGGCATGTTGTATAACACCCAGCAGCCAATGCTATTTGCAGCAGCACTGCTGTCAGATAGCAATTGGTGACGTGCTGTCCTTTAACCCATTAACCCAGAAGACGTGGTTAGATGAACCCTAACGAGTCCTTTGACGTGCCTGACGTGGGCAGAGCTAACTGAGCCGGGTACAAACCATGTCTGTAACAAAACATCTCTTAACCTGAGGCTTTGTGCTGCCTGCAAGGCTCGGGCCCCTGCACACAGTGATGCTGATGCAGTCAGTGGTAGATTTAAAAGCAAATGCAGCCCTTGTTGCTTACTGTACAGCCGAAGTGCACGTGGCCCTGCACAGCATGTAAAAGCCAGGTTCCTGACCTTTCCCATCAGGCAAGTATGGTCCATGTGAATATCAAGCTTCTCCTCGTGTCCACTGTGTGTCTTAGTGCCCGTGGGGGCTGAGCCTGAAGTGATACTGAGCAAACCGATGGGAACGTGGGCATTTCCAGCCATTCCCTGACATGTAACCACACTCAGCTTCCAGGTGCTGTGCCAGGAAACCCGGAGGGGCTCTGCAGGGTTGGTGGGTTTGCACCATCCGCTCTGGAGGCAGAGTTTGGGTCTGGGAATGGTGATGGGCAGAGGGAGGAGCGTCGCTGAGATCCCAAACAGTGCAGCCCTGGGGCTGTGGCCACTCCGTGTCCATCTGAGGGAGCTTCCTGGTGCCCTCAGTTATTCCCCACGGCTTTTCTCTGTGCTGTTTCTGATCTCTGGATGCCCTCCTGAGAAACCGAGCATTGCAGAGGGCTTGGCACATAAGGGATGTAACTGGGTTTGCCACCTTGGTCTTAAATCCGATGTAATTCCACATTTATTTACACACCAGAGGAGCTGCTTTGCAGAGGTCAGGCCTCTGTGAGACACGTTTCCTGCTGGTTTTGCCATGTCTTAAACCCAAGCCCTACCCTGATCGGGCTGCCTGCTGCACTGTTAGGCCAGGAGCTGATCTGTGCCACGCATCATCGTGCTGGCAGCACAGTTCAGCTTCAGCACACACTGAGCAGGCATTTAAAGCTGCAGCAGGTTATGAATTCCCTGGATTTTTAGATAGAGATCATCATCCTCTGGCAGAGCTGTGCCTTGGGGCTCCTCTGACTGAGGGGCAACAAGAAGCCACCGGGGTGCAATGCAGCTGTGCCTTAATCCTCTGCAGCACAGTCTGCAGTGACTGCCTGCAAAGCCACGCTGCTCCAAGGCAAAGACAGTGACCTGGGGGCAGATATAGTAATCTGGGGGGCAGACACAGTGACCTGGGGGCAGTGCCTTTCTGATGGCACTGGGTGCTCTGACACGGCGATGCTTTAGGCAGAAGCTGACCTAAGCATTGCTGATGCTGAGATGGGATCCCCAGGTCTCTGGCACTGATTTCCCAGGCAAACAACTCTGTGCCTGTTTGGCTTCCTTGTTAAAGTGCTGCTCTGCTCCCCAGCAGGATAACAAAGAGTTCAGTGAGTCTTGTCTGTAAAAAACCCAGCTGGAAGGAGAGCAGAAAGGATTCAGTGATGGGTCACTTGCTGTGGGGTCTCTCAGAGCCGGGTCCTGCAGTGCTCTCAGGGCCATTGGGGCACAGTGGGGTTAGAAGGGCACAGCTCTGTCCTCCCAGCTCCTGTTTGTGCCTTCTGAACAGCCCAGCTCTCCTCCTGCTCAGTGCATTACGTGTGACCTCTCCCCATCCCTGTCTTCACGTCTGTCTCTGCTGTGTGCTCTCAGCCCCTCTGGTTGCTTTTCTCCCTGTCTCTCTGTCCCCACTCTCTGTGCACTGTGCCCGTCGGTCCGTCTGACCATCAGAGGTGGGGCTGACCCACATGCTTGATATCCAGTGTTGCTGCAGGACCAGGCTCAGCCCTCGAGCCCTGTAGTGCCTGCTGGCACCAGGCATTGCTGCACGTGGGCTGTTTCACCCCAAGCAGCCCCAGGGATGCTGTGCTCCCACACCTTTCCCTGGCTGCATAGTGGAGGGGGGGGCAAAGCTGTGTGCAAGCCACGCTCCCACCTGTGGCTCTGAGGGTCAGGCTGGGCTGCTGGGCAGGGGGCTGACGTGAGGTTTGGTGCACACAGGGCAATTCCAGGCAGCACGGGGTGCTGCGCGCCGCAGGGAGGTGATGATGAGCTCCAGCCACGCCGATGGAGGGGCTGCCCATAGGGTCCCTTTGGTGCTGGCACGGCCCTCTGAGCACCAAGGGAGCTCAGCAGGCACACAGAGAGCAGCACACGCTGCCCTGGAGCTCCCAGGGTCGGCCAAATTCGTGTGGGTCTGAGCCCCATCGCAGGGCACGAGGCGGGCGCTGGGGGTGCAGCGATGTCCTGTGCCCTCTGTCTCCTCTCTGCTCCCGGTGTCACTGCTGTGTGTGTGCTGTGCTTTGCCATCCCTGATGCTCCCAGCCCTCCGTGTTCTGCGGCGTGGTGTAAAACTGCCAGCATCACCACCGAACCCACTGTGTGTGTTTGTGCCACGGCTGCCGTGGGGCTGCGTGCTGCAGCCTGACAGCAGGCTGTGCTCCAGTCCCCACTTAGGTTACGTGCTATGAACTCCCACCAGACATTTAGGCTTTATTTCTCTTCATGTTTTTTAACCCTTTATCTCCATGACAGAGTTGTGTTGTTTTGGTTTTTTTTTTCAGAAATGCATATTTTTGGTCACTCTTTTATCAAAGTTCTGTGCACATTGATCATTTCTGTTCTTTCAGTTTTTGTGGACATAAGCTTTATGTTTTACACCAGAAAAGGTATTTATTTTTTACGTTTTTTTTCTCTCTGGTAAATCTCCTCCTTTTGGATGATGTGTATGCAAATCTTAATTAATCACCACTCCATTCTCTCACTTAAAGCACTTTAAATTTGCCTCTCCTTCCCCCCTCTGCGGAGAGGCGGTCTCATGCATGCTGATGTGATAAGAGAGGCTCCTGCACACGGGCATTAATGACCTCCCATTTCTCATGACCGTTTCATTGATCTCATTAATCCTCCTGGGGTGTGAGCTGTTCCTTTCCCTCCAATCCAGATCAGGTGCTGCCATGTCGTGCCNCCCCCCCCCCCTCCTCTCACCTCCTTCTCCTCTCTCCCATATGGACAGGTTCAAATCGTTTACAAGCCGGTGGACCTGAGCCATGTGACATCCAAATGTGGTTCCCTGGGCAACATCCATCACAAACCAGGTACATCATCTGCACTGCGTGGGATGGGGGGGGGTTTGGGGTCGGGGGGGGGCTCATGGCAGCACATCATGGGGAGCTGTTCCCTTGCAGCCCACCCTGCAGGCGTGGGGTCTGACCCCTCTGCTGCTCTCCTCTTGCAGGTGGTGGCCAAGTGGAGGTGAAATCTGAGAAACTGGACTTCAAAGATAAGGTGCAATCTAAAATCGGGTCCTTAGATAACATCAGCCACGTTCCTGGAGGAGGAAATAAAAAGGTAAAGGAGGGCAGGGCTGCTGTCCTGTGTGTGTGTGAGCCCTGGGGGGGGGGGGGGGGGTGCCAAGCAAAGAGCAAAGAGTGAGCTCAGGGAAGGCACTGCTCACCAGGCTCAGCTTCAGCCACATCTCCACCTCCTTTCTGCTTGCCAGGCAGCGCTGTGTCCCACTGCTGGCATTGCTGCCCACATCCTGGGGGGGAGATGCTTTGTACCCCATCCTCCTGACCCCCCCCCTGACCCCCTGTGTGGAGCTGAGGGCTGCACAGACCGAGCCTGGGATGTTGGTTGGAGCTGCGAAGCTGCGCTCTGTGCATCTCCAGGCTCACCTGGATGAGTGTGGATGTGTGTGATATCCTCTGCTGTGGGTTCCTGCTTTTTTCTGCTCTCCTCTGAAGTTGGTGCAGGAAGAGGTTTGTGTCTCCAGCTTTCACTGTATGGGATGCTGCTGTCAGCATCTGCTCTCATGCCGTGTGGTGCCAGCGGTGCAGCACAAAGCTGGCACAAGTGCTGGCCTCCAGTGAAAGTGGAGCATTGGGCTGAGCTTTAATTAGAAAGTGGAGCATCGGGCTGAGCTTTAATCAGCATCCATCGCTGCAGGATGCTGAGCTCTGTGCCTCATCTCAGCCTCCCCATTGAAGCTGGGCGGTGTGGGGAGGTGGAAATGGGAATCCAAAGCTGCTCAGGTTGGGTGGGCTCTGTGCTGCATCGCTCTGAGTGCCAGCAGGGAGCAGCTCTGCACACAGGGGCAGGGAGCTGGGGGCAGCACAGGGCTGGGGCTGCAGCCTGGGGATACAACACACAGAGTTGAATTCCCAAAGGGAAAGGTGCTTTTTCTCTTGCTGCTCTCTCTAAGCACTCTTTTCTCCCTGGGAAGGGACAGCTCTGTTCCAGCTCTTCCCCTGCTCCGGATCACTGCCTTCCTTACCCTTCTCTCACTGCTCCACGCATCAGACTGCCCTGTGCTTTTCCAAGCCTCTTCTCAACATTTTTGTTATTGCAACGCTGGTTTTCCAGATCTTTTTTCTCCCTTCTTTTCTATTTCTTTTCCTTTTTTTTTTAAATCTTTTTCCTGCTGGTTGACATTTATTGGATCTTGTTGATTTTTTATTTTTTAAATTGCTGATGCGTTTTTTGCACCCCACCGCCTTGGGTTGGGTTTCTTCACCTGTAGAGAGAGAAAGGCAAGGAAGACAAGAGCTGGTGCCAGGCTGCTCGGACCCCGAGCCCAGACCCTGCTGGGCTCCAGGCCCTGGTGCTGGAGCCACCCACCCCCCCGGAGAGGCAGCCCCCAGCCCCACATTCAGCTGGGGAGGGCACCAGTAAGTAGCAAACCCAGTCCGCTTCCCCTCCCCAGCCCTGGAGCTGGAAGGAGGGGCGGCTGTGTGCCACATGGGCGTCCATAAATCCCTGCTGGGTGGGCAGAGCAGCCGTGGTTGTGCCTTGGATGGAGCTGGCAGCACCCCCAGGCGTGCCCCCATCCCCAGCAACTCGGAGGGCTGAGGCTGTGGGGAGCGGCGCAGTCCCAGCTCTCCATCACCTCCCATCTCTGCTCCCCCCCGCACAGCCCTGCCGACATCCCGCAGGTACCAGCACCCCCTCGGGTCCTGCCCCCTCCCCAGCTCACAGGGCTCTGCTCTCCTTGCAGATCGAGACTCATAAGCTGACTTTCCGTGAGAACGCCAAAGCCAAGACCGACCACGGCGCCGAAATCGTCTACAAATCCCCCACCATCTCCGGAGACGCCTCTCCACGCCGCCTTAGCAACGTCTCCTCCACTGGCAGCATCAACATGGTGGACTCCCCCCAGCTCGCCACGTTGGCCGACGAAGTGTCCGCCTCGCTGGCCAAGCAGGGCTTGTGATGGGGCACAGCATCACCGCGGGAGAGAGAGAGAGAGAGAGAAGATGAGGGGGGAAAAACAAACAAACAAACAAAGGGAAAAAAAAAAAGAAAAAAAAAAGAAACACAAATAATAATAATCTGGCCTTCTTCCTCTGTTCCTTTTACAGCTGCTTCCCCATCCCCTACTCGGTTAATGATTTAACCTGCTTTTACTGTTCATTCAGCTCTAGCTCCAGGACTTCAAAATCAGTGACACTTCGAGGTACAGAACCTCCTCTCCCCCCGTCCCACCCCTCCATCCCTGCAGGGCAGCGGGCAGAGCAGACCCCCACTCTGCAGAGCCGCACTGGGACCCCCGCCCTCCCCCCCCCCACCTTCCATTTG